ACTCCAAAATTCCTTCAATTTGAGTATAATATAGCCATACTTTGAAGGAATCGAAAAATTATTGCGAAATCGTACATTAGACGGCCATTTTGAATTTTACGAGGCTCGAATCAGAAAAAAGATATAATATTTGCAATCTACTCTTAATTGCCTTTCATTTGAGTATAATAAAGCTATACTTCAGAAAGATCTAAAAATTAGCGAAAATTACTGTTTTCCTGACCCCCCATACACGGCCCCTGGGGGTCAGGATGAAAAACACGGAATATATGTGAAATAGATAGATGTTGCAAATATACTACCAAAATTTCAAAAAATAATATTAATTACTTTGATTTAGAATCAAAAATTTATGATTTTTGCGAAAAAGTCCCGTCATTTTTAAAGCGGCGGCCATCTTGAAAATTTTTTTTTTGCGTACAACTATTCACCAATATACATCTTTCCACTAAATATGAAGAAAATCCGTCAACTCGTATTTGAGTTATCTTCCGGACGGACGGACTGACTGACTGACGGACGGACGGACGGACGGAGGGTTTCACTATATCCCTACCGAACTTCGTTCGTTGGGATAATTAGTGCAGGGGGCCATTCAACGATCATCGAACAGTGTAAAAATATATTTCAGTTTGGATATTTCATCAAGACTAACATATATTTTCATTATCTACAAAGAAACCACCTGGATGATCATTATTTCAGCTGATATTCCTCTTGAAACATGGTGGGTCTTAAAAATCTATAAGTGGGATTCCCTTTATAGAAGCTTTGAACTGAATTTACACTTCTCAATGCAGAAATTGATAGTTTATACATACATTTTAAGAAAATAGGTATGTCAAAGAAGGTGGTAAGCCAAATATAGCTCAGAAAAAATAAATATTTTCGAATTTTCTCTCTACAGTCCTTGTTGCCCCTTTAAGTACTAGATCCATTAGACTGTACATGAACATTTAAATCACTGCCCCCAGGATTCCGTGTTTGCAGAGCGCGGACGGAATTTGCCTCTGCCCGCGGAATTGCAGAATCAACTATTTTGGTCAATTTCCGCGGAATTTTCCGCAGAATCCATATATTTTCCAAAAGTTTAAAAAGTCAGTCTTACCTGTAACAATTTGACACGTTTTCAGTCAAATCCCTTGCAGAAATAACCCAAATTATGCGAAGTGAAAATTCTAAACGCCATCGTTTGATTTCTGCCGTTAGATGGCAGCATGTATCAGCATGTATGTAGTGACTGACTACCTGACTATCACGATATTTTCCCGTTTACTGGTTCGAAAACCATTAGTTTTTCTTTCGGTTCTCGTCAGAAAGTTAAACAAAGAAATAAATTAATAAAAGTTATTTATATTATATAAAAAAATGCCACGAATATCCGCGGAATTTCTGCAGAATTAGCCCTTTCTTCTTGCAGAATTCACTAATTTCACTTGCAGAATTGAGCATTTTAACTTGCAGAAAACTGGGGGGAGTGTTAAATGTTGTTTTTCTGTTTCATATTATTTTTTGGTATTTATTCTCATGATACTGCGGGTACACATTTCTTATCTGTCTATTTTTGTACTCATCAAGGTGTCCATTTACCTCTGCAGTCATTTTGGAAATGATTCAAAACTACTAGTGTGTGATGACTGGTCATTCATAAAATCAAATTCATTGATAAAATCATTATGCTGGCCTTGTTGACTTGTTTTTATTTATTAAATATCGTCATGTTCCCATTCAGCTATTTACATTATTTGTGCTGTTCCCACAACTGTAAGATGAGAACTGTAAGATGAGCAAGTAGTAAATTTGAGACTTTTGTTATTAACAATATATAAGCCTGGTATATTAAATTACATATACTAATAATACTTAATACACAGCAAATGATTACTTTGCTTTCTTACCTCGTGCTTCTATTTCTGTAATAAATGTGTTTTATTGCAACTGTTATTTTAAGATTATTTTTAATTCATAACTTGTCTAATCAGTAAATTGGAGAGGTTATATTAACCACATCCTTTTCACAGCAAGGCCATATGGTTTTTAACCCAAATATCTAGTCCCATGCACATTCATTTCTCTTAGCTTCTCAAAAGATAGCTTCGGCTACACTCTTTGAGATACAAATAATCCTTTAAATTCAACGAGCTAATCAGAGCTTGTCGTTGCCATTGTTAACCCGCTGAACTGTAGAATTGTCTTAATTATTCAGAGTTTACTTTTAGCTACCCGCTCAGGGTGAATATCTAAGTACATTGCATGACAGATTCAGTCTTACGCCAACTGTTCAAAAAATGTAACAATGTTTTAGATCTTGACCTAGGAATGATGAAAGATACAGATACAGATCAAGATGATTGCATTTTTAAATGTCTGTACTGTACTTTTATTGCACTGGTACTATTTCATATTTTGGTCTGTTATCACTGTTTGTGTAAATTTTGGAATGTTTTCTTGGTGGTAATATAATCTGGCTAGACAGTTACTAGAGTTATAAATGTTACACATGAACTAGTCAGATGTACTGTTGTACAGTACCTCTAGAAAGTTCTTTTTGCATAGACATTACAATTCACTGCACCATAAAGTTATAAAGTGTTAACTTACGATTATGATAAATATGTATAACATACCTGAAGTCCCAGTAGCAGCTTCTTATATTCGGAATTCAAATAATATTTTAAATTCTACAATCGCCTTGAGAAAGTCTTTTGACACAAAATTTGATCGCCAACTTCACAATAAACAAATTGTTAATAGAGCATTTGTGCCAACTGCTGAAGACTCTTTGATGGTTGTGCTTTGATAACTCCCAAATGAAGTGACAATCTTTATAAATCTCACAAATTATCAAATAATATTAATAAGAAAGAGGAAATATGGGAAGGAGGATGGTGGTCAAACTAAATTAAGCCGGAAAATGGTTGCATTAACTAAAACAGGAAATATGGCAGATGTATACCAATTCTGTATGTGGGTTGTAGGAAGATAAGTTAATCACTATCTTTATAATTTTTAAAGGCATCACTTCTACTTAAAGCAATTAAAGTAATCCCCCTGATATTTTCCCGTTATAAGATGGATTTTACCCTGCGTGCAGAGTCTAGTTAAACTACACTCTGCCTAGTAGAGACCATATTACAGATTAGTAGCCCCACCCCCACGACGGGTTCTGGTGACAGTTTGGGTAATAAATCACTTCTGACCTACGCGCTGACCTTTCTTCCACTAATCAGCGAGCTTGAAGAAGCATAGGCCAAATGCGTTCTAATTAAATATGCGCATGTCATTGGTCAATTCCGGGCTCAATGATGACGTCAGAAGGAATGACCATATATAGAACGTCGGTCAAATTTGGTCGACTAACACTGATTGGCGCGGTGAGTTCACAGGTTTATTTTCGTTTGAAAGAGTGAAGACGAAGCTCTCTTTTAAGAAGTGAAGTCAAACGAATGCAAAGGATAGATGGATTTAACAAGTTTGTCTATTGATCTACTTACTAACTTACATTGGAGATTCTCCTAATTCTTTAACAGTATCAATTTAATGATTGTTCACAGCTATTATTTTCCACTTTTATTATGAGAAAATTGGAATAAAATTAAATACTAGTAGCTCGCTGTAATTTGCTCTCTAATTTGGGTTTGAATCCCAGCGATGACGATTACTTCTTTATTATTTTTCAGTTTTCAATTGGAACAAAATTCTAACTGTTGGTTGTTCTGTTGATTTTTGAATATATCAATGATAATGTGCCCATAACTTGGTCTCCAGATTTATAAAGATATTTTATGAGCAATTATATTGGGAGATTACTGATTGTTCAGGGAGAAATCTGGGTGACTGTCCCACTTTAAGAAAAATTGTGAGAAAAAAGGAAATGGGATGGGTGGCATTCAAATTAACAATCCAAGATAAAAAAGAAACGAAAATTTACAAAAGTAGTGTTTTCATTTGTGTAAAGAGATAAGTCACATCATACTTGTAGTTTGAAGAAAAATACGTAAATATCAGTTCTCAAAAGCAATCTTTGAAGGAGGGCCCTCTTAGGACCTATTGGCTAAAAAGTACACACCTTGCTATTAGTTAAACACACACCTTCCAATAAATTCTAATAATGAATTCCATTGTATGTAATAAATAAATCAGGTTAGGTTGACACAAAATATATGGCATAAACATACTTGTTTCATTTCTATTCATTTACTAATAACTTCAAAGTCATTAATGGCATTTCAAAATCTTAACTTTTTTCAAAAATATGAATCTTAACCTCAGTTGTGGCTAACTTCTCAAAAGAGAACATTTTGGAAATGTTATGTATTGGCTTCTTTCTTTTGCAGTTTGAAGAAATTATCAGCAATAAAACTGATCAAAAATGTATCTTAACCTAACAGTAATAAATACATTTTCAAGACTATTGTGGCTATAACCAGTTGAGGCAACAGCCTCAACAAAAATATAATTTCCAAAGATTCTGAGGGAGCATGTTTTGGTTGCTATGGCCAAGTTTGGGCAAAGACGTTGCTCCCTTCTTTCAAAATTCTGGGTATGGTTCTGTTTTATAGATAACAGATATTAGAAGACCACTGTTTCATGCATTGAACCACAAACTGTGAACTGTTAAAAAAATACAAGATGATTCCATCATAAAAGGTTGTATTTCTTGTGTCACTCTATATAAAATATGCTAGATGTTTTAATTTGCCCTTGTTTATCAAAATATGGATCTCCCAAGGTCAGACCGTCCATACAGAATGGTTAACCTTGGGCATCTATCCCATCTTGAGAAATCATGGCCTCTAACAGCTTCCAGAAATATGATGAGCATGAGCATGAGAAATGGTACTGACAGAACATCCTAGTATCAAATTGTCATCTATGATAAAAATTGGTATTGAAATTGAAAGGACAGAACTCCAATGTCATACCACATCACATTCTTTTGCTCTGTAATAAAGAAATAACAAACCAATGAAATCGAATGCTAGGAAAAAACTACTTACCGAGAGTGTTTTGCTGAACCATAAAGGTTATACTCAGTATTTTCCAATGATTTCCTATGTGGTTTTCTGAAAATAAAGATAGTTTTTTAAAGTTATGAATCAAAAAATATATAAAAAGTTTAAATTATTTAAAGAAAAGGATCAATGGCTGAGTATTTTCCAAGGAGATGTGTCCTGGATGTCCTTTAATGTCATAGTAACCTTCAATGTCATCATAAAATATCAATCCAAGAGTAAATGTGTTTACACATTACAATGTATCTAGTGATGTGAAAATGAATGTATGAGTTTGAAAATAAAAGTATGCAACTCAAACAACTAAACGTTTTTGCATTAATGTGCTTACAGATAAAGTGTCAATTCTGGTGTGTGATAGTATATTATAAGTAATGATTTCTGAACAGTATTTCTCCATTTATTCTATGGATATTAAATATATATATGAGGATAATAACAAGTTAATTTATATTTTTACACACACTGATTACTCAAGATTTTGTTAATGAAAGTTGGTGTTGGTTAAGATTAAGATGCATATATAGGCAGCAAACACAAATCCATATGATAGATATCATATCTTATAATTTCTTCGGCTAGTATTAATTTTATCCACCCCACTTGCTCGCTATGCTCATGGTTGACTCCTGTATAAAATTCATATCCATAAAAAACCATGGGATATCATATACTGTAGGAAAACCACTTTAATACATAAATCTTTGCCATTCTTTGGGACAATTGTTCTATCTAATTCATCCGGATTATTTTCCTCTTTTATATACCACTAATCAAGTTTCAGTTTACATGAAATACCACCACCAAGAATATTTTTGTCCCTCAATGTTTTTTAAAAAAACTGCAGGGGTCCGTGACAAATGTGATATGCACTTTAGCAAAATCATTTGTTTACATTCACCTTCAATGCGAGTGATAATTGATTTTTTTTATACTAATGGCAGTCAGCCAAAACTATAAGACAACCATCACTAACAACCTTTAATTGTGATTTTTTCAGATACATGTTTGAAGCTATGAATTCAACTAAAAGTTTATATTCACATGATAATATCAATGAATGAGCTGACATGTATCCACGTGGTCGTGCACTTTCAATGACCTATATCATGTTGTTATATATTCTGCTTGGATATAAGTGAAACGAAATCACTACTAGTAAATAATATGCTTCATCACTGAAAGAATGCCTTACCATTTGTGTCCTTATTAACTGAATGAAGTAATCCAGTATATATAAACCATAAAATCCTCATAGTTCAGATGACTTCTCATATGCCTTCAAGTTTAAGTTTACATATGCCCAAGGACTAAATTGCATATTAGATATTCAGCTTACAACTGTACTAAACCAACGTGACAACCAACCTTTACAAGATTTCTCCCTTAATCCAGACAAATAAGATTGATCACAGCCTGAAAAAGTAGCACAGTGACTCTTGTTACTATTTATAATGTTTCTACACAAGATGTGACGTGTTTCAAGACCAGGAAATTGAATAAATAACAGTTTACTCACCCAATTTATTACAGTATGGCGGGAGTTGTTGAACTGCAATGTTTATGCACCACGTGACTCAAACATACCATTATATTAGTCTAGTGAGTATTGAATAGGGAAAATAGAGGTGGCCTTTTGAACAGCTCAGTCAATAATCCATACAAATATTTCATATAACACATAACCCATTCATTCAGAAAATACCTCTCATTTTAGTGAGGAATTTAGGCTTAAATCTCAATAGTAAGTCCATGCTTTAATATTCCGTAATTTTTGCACCTAGAGTGACCCATGAGAGTAATAATCCATGGATTTACATGTCTAGCACAATTATAAGCTTGGTTTAGGTTAGGAGGAATTCTATGAAAAAGAGTGACCAAGGATTGGTGATCTGTAACATGAAACTGTAACAACAAAGTGTAACATGGTATAATTTATCCATATAGACAAGAAGTGTAAATGAAAGGGATGGCTCTAGACAAGGTCCTTGCATAATTAGCTCAGACTAATATAAAATACGACACATGGTGATCTTCTATAAAATAAAAATTAAAATAATTCATAAAATGTTATTAAAAAATAAAAACCTGTTTGATCCATACAGACTGAACAAAGTGTGGGGGCATTAACACATTGAAAATATCATAAAAGATGAATCTAATCGATTTAAAATTCCTAGGTGGATAGGGGAAAATCCCAGGAAATATTGTGAGTATTCCTTCCGAAAAATCTCCAATTGTATGATTTTATTATAATTTTCATGAAAGTAAATATTTATTGTAGCATTTTCTACACAATAATGAATAACAATGATGAATGTCTACAGACTCTGAACAATGTCTTAAATTGTTTGAAAAAGAAACATAACTCTTAACGGATTGTAAGGGCAATCTATACCCAATAGTCTGCATGAATTTTCTCTGTCTGGAAATATTGGCAAGCTTCCAATGGCCATATAAACAAAAACCACGTGACAACGAAATGAGTTATTACAATCTCCTGCAATCTATAGCTGCACATCAATATTGAATACTATCACGATCAACACGTCATCTTCAGTATTGCGTCAGCAACATATACAATTGTAATTGTTAGATGGTGAGTATTGGTATTGAAAAAATCTGTTTAGAAAAGCAATGCAATTTTGTAGAAAAATGATCAATCCCTAAATTATCGAATTGATTGATTGATTGAATATGATGTTTTGATAACAATATCTAGACTGAAAAACTTGACAGTGTTTTCCAAATGAACTGATAAACAAAGTTCATACATTTCACTTAAAAATAGCCATCAATATCTACTGATAATACACCAAAATAAAGCTGACCTTTACCCATCTTTTCAAAAACACAGACTTATCAATCACTCTACAGCAGCTAAATTACAGTTGCCATGGTAATTGAAGGTACTGAATGCTGAACACTTAAAATAGCAATGGAGGCTAAATAGGGGAAATATGTTTTTTTGTAAATCCAAAGTAAAAAGCAAGGTTGCGAGGCAATTTATTAATAATATACAACAGACACACCTTTCTAAAATACAGATGCAAATGAAATTGAAGATATCCAGTGCAACATTTGAACCAAACAAAAATCTGGCTCCCAATTATTGACCTACATAATGAATAGGGATGTCGCGGGACAAAAATATTTCGGGACGGGAATTATCCATTTCGGGGCGGGACATAACCAATAAAATAGTTAAGAAGTTTAAAACAGTTTATCCTGAACATGGACTGAAATCTTCGGTACACGAGGGTTGTCCCATCCTGTCCCGAGACCAAAGTCCTGAGGGACACCTGACAATATCGGGAAACTGTGACATCCCTAATAATGAACAACCCCCAGACCCAGTTTTTTAAAGATTTACAGATTTTTGAAATTGGGCTGTTTTGCCTATATTATTTGACTGACCACTAATGAAGATGTTTTGTTCTTCCGGATGATGTGCAATGATCCAAATATGAGCAGTTCCAAAAGGGCACAAAAAGGAACCATCAACTTTAGGCTTCAAAATACAGGTAATGCGAATGCTTGACTTGATACAAGCTCTATCTAACACAACTCAATGGTCAGTTTAGGGTAATGACAACCCAAAAGAAGTGACTCTGTTTCTCAAAGACATTGTCGTTGGCAGATGCCATGGGATAAGAATTCAACTGATTGGCTTAGCAAATTCAGGGATGTGGAGTGCGAGAGTAAATTACTCTTTAAAAGGGTCTGCACTGACAGGATGGGAGATAGACATTGTGTGTGACTGTAATATATATCTAGAGGCTGGGTAAACCCATAAAGCCAGACACATCACATCAATCTAACCTACATCATATATATTCAAAGGTTTAAAGGGAAAAGTACTGCAAAAAGATTTTGTGAATGTGAGAAGCTATGCAGACTTGATTATATATATAGTTAGTCAAGCTTCATGAGGAGACCATAAAAGTGACCCTTCTAAAAATATTACATGTAGAACTTACAGTTGTCACCCACATCCAGGCCCGTAGTCAGGGGGGTTCAATGAATTCGAACAAACTGGCCAAAAATTCTTTCAAAATCATGCAGTTTTTCAGTTTTTGAGTGCTATGGCCATTTTTGGACCCAAAATAGTCAAAAGTGACCCCCTGGAATTTTTCAAAAAGTAAACCCCCCTTGGCTACAGCCTGACATCTCATATGTTAGATCCATCTATATGTACAATAACCTTCATACATACTGAATAAAAAATGTTAAATTTTAACCAGTTCATCCCATATTTTTTACTTTTTGTCTGGGTCATAAAAAGGCAATCCCAAATTGGGTAAAGGTGTTATAAACCAACAAGTGGCAATATATATGTCCATTTAATAGTCTCAAACTATTTACAGTACTTGCATACGTCATAATTTTACCAGACACTACCACACTTATGATAACTGCTACTGAAAACTTAGCCTTGTTCCATAAGTCCCATGCTATGTTCTGAATTTTTATACCTCTTCCAAGTACCATTAAATGAGACAATGTCTGGCATTTGTCCCATTAACTGTCTTTTCTCTTTTGGCATTTGTGCTTATATCATTGTCTAAGAGTACATGAATTATTTGCAAATATTCTCAAAATCATGTCCAGCATTTCCCATAACAGGAGTTCCACATGTGGAACTGAAGGAATAAAACTAATAGTACAGCAATTACACTGGTAGAACTATAGGAATTACACTGTCCAGGAATTACAATGAGAGAACTGTTGGAATTACACTGTCCAGGAATTACAATGAGAGCACTGTTGGAATTACACTGTCCAGGAATTACAATGAGAGAACTGTCGGAATTACACTGTCCAGGAATTACAATGAGAGAACTGTCGGAATTACACTGTCCAGGAATTACAATGAGAGAACTGTTGGAATTACACTGTCCAGGAATTACAATGAGAGAACTGTTGGAATTACACTGTCCAGGAATTACAATGAGAGAACTGTTGGAATTACACTGTCCAGGAATTACAATGAGAGAACTGTTGGAATTACACTGTCCAGGAATTACAATGAGAGAACTGTTGGAATTACACTGTCCAGGAATTACAATGAGAGAACTGTTGGAATTACACTGTCCAGGAATTACAATGAGAGAACTGTGGGAATTACACTGTCCAGGAATTACAATGAGAGAACTGTTGGAATTACACTGTCCAGGAATTGGGAAGTATATACTGATGAAAACTGTGGGAATTACACTGTGGAACTATTGGAATTACACTGTGGAACTATTGGAATTACAATGTGGAACTATTGGAATTATACTGATGAAAACTGTGGGAATTACACTGGTTGAACTGGAGAAATCATACTGCTGGAACTGTTGTATTAACCTGAGAGAACTTTAGAAATTACAATGTGGACCCTTTAAGGCCTTAGGAATAACATTCGGAGAACTCATCATGGTTGGTTCTGGATGAAGTGAAAAAGAAAGATTATCACATATTATTATGGTCGGTAAACAGGAGAAGTATTGGCACATTATCACTGTCTGGTTAAAAAATTGACAACATCAGTAGTTATTATTTCCCAGCTTATTTTAAATTCCCCAGCCTTGTCTATACAACGTACATGTAGCATCAATTCCCTGTATGAGCTTCTCATTGCATTCACATAGGTTGACAAAGATATAGCCATAGTCTTATATATGCCCCTGGGTTGCCATCCCCTATCCAAAGTATCTGAGGCAGGGAAATAAGGGGTAGGGACTACTAAGACACCAAATACAAGACTATCTGTGAAATATTCTTTCTTTGAACCGATCTGCTGAATAAAAAGGGAAATTAATATGATGATTTCATTAGTGCCAGGCATCTTCTTAATGAATATTTTCTTCCTGAAATCAAATATGGATATAGGGTGCTTGTTATTGGCATCCTTGAAGCACTTACTTGGAAAACATTTCATAATATACAAATCAACTTTGGGATTGACATTGAACACAGGCTAATAAATCCTTCAAGTGGATTATATTGAATTCTTTCCTCAAAATCCATTTAACAATATAAAATATGTGCATCATATCTTAAGATTGAGTATGATTTTCATTCCATAGCACACCATGGAGTCAGGAATGTAAAGTTGATCATTCAATTCTTGTATTTAATCTTATTCCTATTCGGGTAAAATCCCTAAATGCAACTTTGCCACATATGTTCGATCTTTTATGACAAAGCAATCTGATTTAGACTCAATAAGTTGAATCTTGGCACTGTGCCAGATTGCACAAGATCGTTATATGAAGGAATTGTTCTGTAAGGTTTACTAACAACTGCGTATGGAGTTAAATCTGTTTAAAAAGCTATATTTCTCCCAAAAAGTCAAGATAACATACAGATATTTATAAAACTCTTTTGACGCAATTGCATTTAGTTATCTGTGATAAGAATATGATTTACAATTAGCTACAATATGTTCAGGAGTGTTACATCCAATCTTGGCTCATGTAGTTTATATGTCAAGGTTGTTTGTTATCGTTTGTTATTCACCTATTACCACGTGTAGGAACAGAATATTTGTCAGCTATGGATGATATGATTGAGCAAGCTACTTTTCTTATATCAAAAACCATACAATATTTATTTTAACTCAAAATTTTGGTACAATTTTGGTAGAAGAAATTAACGAACTCCATGTAATGGGTTAATAGGATTTGATTAATAATGTTCTTCTAAATTGAAAGACTTCTAATTTACAAGTACTCCTGGTGTTTCTAAAAAAATTTGCAAACAAATCTCCCATTCACATGATAAAATGATGACATTTTGTCCAAGTTATTGATTTCTGAGAGATATTCATTTAGATTCTAATTGAAAAATCATTAAATGCTCTTTTGAATATGTTAAGTTTGTCTTGTAAAATAGTTTAAAAAGGTTATATTATTCCTATATGTAGTCTTACTTTATAGTTTATTTTATCCTTGTATTCTCATAGTTTATAGTTTGTTCCTATTTAGATTAGTTCCTTAGTTTGTACTAGTGGTGCAACTCGCAAGAAAAATGCTACTTGAGTAGAAAGTGTGAAAATGCCACTGTAATCGAGTACCACTCACAAAAATGAGGGAAAAATTTAAAAAAATAAAAAACTCACCTAGTCGACTGTTTGAAGACCAAATAGATACAATTTCTTCGTTTCTTCTATATGTTATTGATGTTATATATGGTTTGTATCAATTTAGTGAGAATAAATGTAGTTATTCATGCCATAATTGTGTTTGTTTGTTTGTTTTTAAATATTTTCATTTTGTTTCCGGAATCGATACTTTGTTTCGTTCAGTGCCTCCAAAAATGATCATTCCCGGGGTATGAGATCGTTGTTTGGGAATTCAATGCCTACTCGAGTTTGAAAAAACGTACTCGAGTAACTATCTTGGACAGGTTCAACAAGTGAGTGGCGAGTACTGGCATTCGAGTTGCACCACTAGTTTGTACTTAGACTAATGTGTTATATTGTTGTATTGTATTTTGTTTACCACCAATGAAGGTGAGCAATACCTCTTGGGTATGTCCCGTATATATACGGTCGTAATTTACGTAATTAACCTGGAAGATAGACCCAGAAACCCCTTCTTGAAGGAGCCCTGTGTTCTTTTATGTGCACCTATACATAGACATACAAGTACACACCACAGCCTTTTGTACGAGTTGCGGACCACTCAGTCAAACACCCTGAAGTACTTAACGCAAACAAGCAAATTTAGTCTTGCCTGAACCGGGGATCGAATCCGGGACCTATTGCGTAAGAGGTACCTGCGCTACCGCTGAGCTACACGGGTGGACTTTTGATGACAACACATTCAAAACAGAAAATTATATAAATATTTCACAAAAAATATTCCAAAGGTTATCTAATTTCAATGAAGCCATTTTACAAAAATTGGGATATCAATTCTAAGAGAAGATTTTATAAATTCTTTTCATTTGAATAGTGATATATCTTGAAATGATACACTGACGGGTATAATCTGAAAAAATCCTTTAGATTAGGAACATTTTACTAAGTAAGAAATTTTGAAATTCAGCTGCAATCTTGAAAATTTCTTCTTGAGCAGAGGTTCTTTGTCCCTGGGCATCAGCATATAAAATTTGAAATCCATCCACTGGTACTGGTATGTTTAATTATCTAAGATAACATTTTTTACAAAAATTTAGCTGTCATCTTAAGTCCCATCTTTGTCCCTAGGCATAGCATTTAAAATTTGAACAAAATCTGTCTACTGGTATATGTGTTGTTAAAGATTAAAAGTTTTGCAAAAAACGGTGGCCATTTTGAAGTTCAATGGCCATCCCTTTGTCCATAAGCATTAGCATATTAAATTTGAACCAAATCCTTCAACTAGTATTTGACTCGAGTAAACCAAAGTTAACATTTTTTACAAAAAATGGTGGCCATTTTGAATTAAGTGGCCATTTTGAAAATTCCCTCTTTAGAAGAAATCCTATGTCCAGAAGGCTATAAAACTTGAATGAAATAAGTTATAACAGGTATTTGAATTTATCGCTTGGATGCACAAACAAAGAATGAACAAATGGACAAACGTATGGACAGACAGCTCCTCTATATTCCCTGGAGCTTCAAAGTAAGATAATTCAATGGGTATCAATATTTAAACATATGTCTGAATGTTAATCTAAATCAAATAATATATGCATTTATCAAACAGAGCAGTCATTTTATTCTAAAAAGAAATATGAAACCTTAGAGTTTAAATTAACACGAATGAAGGTTTATGAGTATAAGCAAATATGAAGCAATGGATTTCATTGTCATAACCATTTTACAAAATCTTTGTCATTTTGCTTAGACTCTTAAGTTAAAAAAACACTGATCAACAGATTCTTTGTAAAGTATTTTTAAATCAGTGGTTGTAACCATGGGTATTCCATTGTTTTCTTATTATGTCATTTTTCCTATGGTGACAATTGATATGTGATTTTCGTATTATGAAAGCCTCTGGTGATGACCTGGTGAATGTTAATGCAATATCACTCTGTGTTTCTAGTATTGCCATTTGTGCACTTGTAATCAACGTTTGATAATTCTTAATCAATCTGGTTTTTGGTTTATAAATTGAAAATATATTGAAAATTTTTTCACCTCATTAGGTTCATTTACTGTTATTCATTTCTGCAGAAATGTTTTTACTCCGTTTTATCAGATGAAATTGGTATAGTAGACTGAAAATATGCATTACTCTCATTTTTTGGAAATGTTTATATGAAGATGCTGAACCACACAACTTTACACATCCTTTTTGAAAAGGATGCATTTTTCTACTATCATTTCAATCATTTATCCAAATCATTTATCTCATTAATTCTGGTTCTAAAATAGCAGTTATTTTTACAGTGCCATACACTTGTGTAAAACTGTTCAACATATGTAATTTTAAATGTGCAATTACCGTAATCGCCTTAATAAGGACCCACCCCTAATAAGCGCCTACCCCGCTTCACAGAGATCAAGAAATATCGAGGAATGACCAAGTATTGACGAATATATCAGAAAAAATCAAATTTCCAAAGAAATATAGTGGGCGATAATAGAGTACTTACACTAAAATGCAAAAAACATGATGCATTTTGTAATTCGATGCAGAGTTTTGTTTCAACATTTTAGTAACTAGCGACTGTCAAGGTCATGTCAAGGTCGTAAACCTTCTTGTTTCTTATCAAGTTTTCTCGACTTTTACACTAAAAATGGTGATCTGTCATCAAAAAAAAAAAAAAAAAGGTATAACTTTAGATCAATATCTAACAGTCAATAGCGGAAATATTGAAGATAATTGCAAAAAACAATTCCTTCACCTCGAGGGCCTCTGCTTGGGAGTTCTTCAATCACTGTCAATATAGTTAGATTCTTGCTTTCTATGTTGTGATCTTTACCGTATTCTTCTAAATAACGATACATATCATTATTGTAAAAATATGCTGTCACTTTCGTTACAAATAAGGCATTTTTGGCAAGAAAAATTCCCATACATAAAATTCCCAGGGATTTTTGACTTCTCTCATATATGGGCGCTCTTTGTAATGGGTTACAATGGGAATTTCAATTCCCAAAGTGCCCTGGGCGCTTTTTACGGCGAATATTGTATGATGTTGTAGTCGGGTTTGGGGAATTCACTGTATTATATTGCATTCTGTACAGTTTGAGCACCAATAGAGGTGAAAAAGCGGTTATGGTTAAAATATCTCCTGCATTGTAACTGACCGTCATTATTTACCCTGCCCCACTATATACAAACAAATTGGTCTCTTGAATTTGAATGTATTGGCAATATACTAACCTTTATCAAAGGCAATCTTCTCCTTTTAGATATAGAAACGTCAGCTGATTTACACCCTTCTCAAGCACTAAATTAGCCAATCTAGAAAGAAATAACATTTTAACATTAATTAGTAACTCACAAATTCAAATGTAGTCAGTGACTTGTAGTCTTGAGCAATAATGGAAAATTCCTTAGTAGTAATACTAAATTTTTATAATAGTGTGTGACAATGACAGATCACCTACTGGTGCCATTCATAAGAAATGTACTAGAAAGCCCTTTAACCTATGACCTATAGCTACTACCTGATAAAAGTCTTAAGCTGAAAGCAGATCTCATCCTTCTTCAAAATACTTCATTTATGCTTAAATTCAATTATATACTTGTAAAATACCCTTGCAGCAAGGATGACGGATCTCCAATTTTTGAAACTCTTAGTTATTCAAATATGATCACATTGATCTTGGTTGGAAAAATTGAAACGGCACAAGAAAAAAATCAGAATCTGAGATGAGGGAAACATCAGAAATTTGTAGCACGTCAAGTAATCAATGAGGGTTATGTGTTAATATTACGGGAGTTTGGACTGTGGAGAGGCTCCAATGAAAAAGAGTACAAAGAAAGCCATTTCAAAGAAGATGCTGGAAGGGAGGATCTGCCAGAAAGGTTAATGTGGATAGGGGTTACTCTATTATGGTATCATATGGCCCCTCAAATAAAAAATAAACACAGACAGACAAAATGCTCTTATCTTATTTTTAAATAACAGTAGATTATGGCAGATTGATTGCGTTTAGTTGATTGTAGTAACTGAGCTGATTGTGCTGTAGAATTTCTCCCTTGTAACCCTCAGTCACTTCAAGCTCCATGCCAGTCTACACAGAATATGGCTCATTTATGGGATTTGTGTGTGGTATGCATACAAAAAGTCAGGTATAGTGAAGTCTATTTACTTTAATGTCTTTCATATTTGCTGTATTCGTTTTTTTGTCAGCTAATACAAATTCTCAGACATTTTACTTCAATGTTTTTATGTCATTCAATTGTCAGTTTTGCCACCCTGTCTGAAATGCCAAATGCAGCAGGTGAATTGAAGAACTAGGTTAGTTTTCACTTTTCAGCATATTTGTATTTTTAGCTATTGAACCCCTAAGTTCTTTTTGCCTGTGTTCAGACGAAGGCCACACAGTGCACTTTTATTGTCTGCATTTCCGGGGCACCTTAACCTCGTAAATTTTTGAACAAAAAAATGTCAAATGCCTGGTTAACACGCAGATAGTAGTGCACAGTAAAACCTGTCTAATCCAAACGCCATTACGTAATTGGGACAGGCTTCAAGCGTTCAGATTAGAAGGTGTTCACATTTCGAGGTTTTAGCATTCGCGAGATTCCCGATTCTGAAGAAATGTGAATACATTATCGGTACATATTTAAAGTTCATTTGACCACCTAATAGCTTAATGGCATTTCAGAAATTTGAAAATTCAATTCAAATGAATCTAATCATGCTGGAAAGCCATTTTATAATAATTTTTCCCAAATTTTTGATATCATAACAATATTTGAGCAATTTTGAATGAAACATGTGAAATTTTATGAAAAGTGTTCAGATTAGACAGGTTAATTTTTCAAATATGACTGTTCACTGTTCAACTTGAGAGGTATTTACATTTTAAGTTTTTTTAACATGGGAATCAATGGGAGGAAAAAATGGGAAGGAAAAAGGGGTTCAGCTTTGGAGTTGTTCGGATAAGCCAGGTGTTCAGAAAAACAGGTTCTACTGTACTGTACTATTGAATTGTTAAAAGTGTTTTCCCAGAGTTTGTCCTTATAGGGTATAAATTGCTGTTGTTGTTATTGTTGCCCTTGCTATTTTGAATAACAAGCCCGAATTCAAGTTCAAATTCAAAATGTTTTTTCAATTGCAAGGTTATTTTAAATGCTCAACTTGATGGAGCGACTATAGGTTGCTTAATTTGCTTCAATCTCAGAGTCAAGGAATATAATGTATGTTTGTCATTCTTTGACTTTGTCGAAGATAAATAGTTTACAAACTTTTTAAAGAATAATGGGATCATTTTTAAATTGGCTTTTCTAAATAGGTGTGTCATATCGACCAATCAAAAAGTAGGTGTGTCAGACTCTGAGTTTCATTAACCAATCAAAATGTTTATTTCATCCACTTCGGGACAAAAAATACATAAGTAACAAATGCGAACATTGGTGCCATTATGATTCCATCATATATATATTATTTACCCGGTAGTCAAAGATGATGTCATCACCATCATTTGTTTACATTGATTCCTCGATACACAAATGAACTGTGGAGCTAATTAGCACAAAGTCGTTATTGCACAATCGCTGTTATACATATATAATGTATATGCTTTGTGAATAAAAAATCAAATATTTCTCTGCAAAATCTGGAATATTTTGGTTCGATGATAGAACTACTTCAATAATATCGACCCAACCAGTTTGTGTCATCTTGAATTCCTGCATCTAGTGTGGTAGATGATTCAGACAATCTTTTACCCTACCCTTTGCATTTGTTGATTGTTCAACTTCTCTTCTTAAAAGAGAGATTCATCTTCCTAACTAAATGCACAGGGTAGTTTTACATGAGTCAAGAATGAGTGGTAAAAAGGTTCTTTGCTTTAAGTTCAAAAACATCTGACAGACCGTGCCATTCTTACAATACTATTGCTATGAAAATTCATACTTCATGACACCAACGTCAATAAAAATACTCAATAAAGATATTTTGCAAAGTCAAGGACATCACGACTTTATCACCTTTCGATTTCATGAATTTCTAATGTAAGGACTAGGCTAGACTATAGTTAATAAAGTTTGTAGACTATTCACCTATCACAAACACTCAGACGTCCATTCATCCATTCATATAAAACTGATAAATAAAAAATATTGTCAAAATGCATGATCTGATAGTAAATAAAGCGTCACGTGACCAAACAAACTGTCTCTCAGTGCCGTGTGCAAAACCCATTCATGGAATCGTGACCTTTGCAAAGTTCAACTCTAACTTGACTTTTTTAATGACCTTTTGCCCTGGAGGCTCAAGAACACATCATCAATGCCATCTCAACGTTTCACATATACATATATCTAATATTTGACTGTCGAAAAGAAAACATATTTCAACTGACATTCCGTAAAAAATAACGTATATCCAATTACAATCTTGGGAATTTGCCAACATTTTGTCTAGCCTCGCTGTCTGAAATGGTTCCACTTTACCATCATTTTTCTCGACAAATATGACATTGAGAATCACTTTACATGTGATGAATGTATACTTTAATACTTCATATATGATATCGTCATAAATTTCAAGTGTTTAGATATAAGATAACACTGCAATCATTGGTATTCAATTCATAACATAAACATAAATTTCTACTTACGCAGTCTCACGATGTTGTATATTTTACGCGGGAGTTTTCGCGCCATCTATATGAATGAATTCAGGTCTAGATAGTAAATAATTTTCTAATAAATTCTGAATTCTATTTCTTTTAAATATGATTTCTAAGTCACTCTAGTAAAGACATTGTACACCGAACTATAATCTTAAGATGTGAAAATTATATTTAAGCTTCTGATTAAAAGTTCTGAACTAAAACCTTTTGTGATGTTATCAATACAATAAATTACCGAAGACCTTTCTTCATTCAATTAATGCGCTCTTCCTATTGGTAAAAAATTACGTGGGCGGAGCAAAGTCAAGCAAGCAGGGAAGGGATTGATCAATTTGCAACACTAAAAATATCATATCATTACTAATATTCAATTTCCAGGGATTCATTCGTGGTCCATGATTTGATGGATAGCTGAGTTCACAGGTCCAGAAACAAGATTTAAATCCCCTCTGTATACTGTAAGAAAAGTATTTTTTACCTAATACATAATGAGTGGGAGGGGGGGGGGTTGGCTCTTGTTCCTGTATCTTTAATCTATTTTCATCTGTAAATCTCTTAATACTGTTTTAATTCGAGCTTACACTATTTTTAGTGGCTTGCAGTAGACTTGAAATTCATTTTTGCATATTTTGCATATTCGGATCAAGTTAATTATTAAAGAGAAAGTTAATCATAGCGTGCAACAAATTATAACCCCCTTCCTATACATCCAACACCCATTAACAAATATTCAATAGGCACTTCAGTTCATAAAAATTCACAAAACAAATCAGATTTGTTTCCACTGATTCATATCCAGTAAAATTTAAAATGTTTGGAACTACTTTGAATTAAAAAAATAAGCAATCAAACGACTATATTGCAACAGTATTATAAACAAGAACACAAATGTGTACAAAATGTCTCCACCAATGGGTGAATGTGTACAAAATGTCTCCACCAATGGGTGATCCCATCGAATGATTATCCTGAAAATAAGTAGATAAGACTTTACCGACACAATTTGAGGACGGAAAATCCAAAGTGGCCACCTTAAAATTTACCCAGAATGCCCCGAAATTAGTTAGTTCTAGATTTTCATACTAAGAACCACCCCTGAAAATTTGAAATTCATCCATCAAACAGTTAACCAGAATACATGTAAACAAAACTTTACAGACAAGATTTTAGAATGGAAAATACAAAATGGCTGCCTTGACATTTACCCAGAATGTCAAAAAACTTATCAGTTCAAGATTTTAATACTAAGAATCATCCTTGAAAATTTGAAATTGATCTACCAAACGGTTCACCTAAAAACGCGTAGACAAGACTTTACAGGCAAGATTTTAAGACGGAAAATCCAAAATGGCTGCCTTAACATTTATCCAGAATGCAAAAAACTAGTCAGATCTAGATTTTCATTTTAAGAATCATCCCTGAAAATTTGAAATTGATCTTCCAAAGGGTTCACCTGGAAATGCATAGACAAGACTTCACAAGTTCACAGACAAGATTTTTAAGACGGAAAATCCAAAATGGCTGCCTTGACATTTACCCAGAACACCCAAAAACTAATCAGATCTAGATTTTCATACTGAGAATCATCCCTGAAAATATGAAATTGATCTACCAAATGATTCACCTGAAAACGCGTAGACAAGACTTTACAGACAAGAGTTTAGGACGGAAAAATCCAAAATGGCCGACAATAAAAAAGTGATTATGAGTTTTTGCTGACTTCCTTTTACAAAATTGTCACATATAACCACTGTTAACAATAACATAGGCTTTTACAACAAAGTACACCTGAAATTATTTATAAAGCTACTAAATAGTTAAAGTATGAAAACTCAAAAACACCATTCAATATGATACAAAGTATTATTGCACGCTAACTTTTCTTAAGACATTCAAAATAGCTGACATGATTGAGCTAACAGGTCCAAAACCTAATCAGATGTAGAATGAAGAAAGCTGAACAAGATATTAAAGATTTAAAAGCAACCGTGAAGCCGTTTGCAGACAAGGATTTTAGCATTTGACTTCAAAATGGCCGACAGGAAGTAGGTATCGAGTTAAATCTTTTTCATCCACATCTGTAAGCACTTATAAGTAATCCCTGAAAATTTGAAGCTGATATCTGTAGCGGTTTTGTAGAAAACTGCCGGATGTACGGACGGACAGACAGACAAACAGACGGACGGACGGAGGGACTGACGGACGCACCTAGGCCGACAATATGGCCCCACACTATGTGGTGGGGACATAAAAAGTAAAAACATATACACTTGTCCTGTATATTTCAGATAGTTATGTATAATGTGCAGTAAAGCTGTGGCCTTTTGTTATTTAGGGAGTTTCAGCCATGTTAATTTTTCCGAAAAATAACATGGCAGAGAATCATCAAAATATAAGAGGCCAGAGATGTGATTGCTAAACTACAAAACAAACTAAAATATACAAAAGTTAAGACATGTATAAATGTTTCTATTTTTACATTTACCGTTTCAATATGGTCCTTTGATTGCTTATTTTTTAAATTCAAAGTAGTTCCAAACATTTAAAATTTTACTGTATATTACATTTTAATACAAAACATTTACTACATTATACATTTAATGTATTGAGCTTTAGAAAGCCCATGGCAAATATAAATTGAACATTTTGAATATATATAAGAAAGTAAAACTAAATAGTTCTAAATAAGACTATACACAAAAATGCCTGGTGGTTCATTTCAATTGATAATGATCCTCATAGCTGTGAAAGTCACAAAGTCACATACATATGTACATGTATATGTACCAAGCAATTTTTAATTAGAATTTCATATAAATTATGGCAAAAAATGCATTTACAAATACATACATTGTAGATACTACAAGTACATAATGTAAATAAACTAGTTTTTATATAAAAATACAAGTACAAAATAATGTACAAATTGTAAAAATAGCAAAAGTAAGTAGCAGGACCAAATTCAGGAGCATTAAGAAAATACAGGATATGAGCCTTTCTGATTTATCAGAGTGGCCCTTTATCTATTGCTTGAGAGGGATGGCACTAGTACTCCAAATCCAACAGATAGCGCTGCAGGGATGGATCTGAAAATCAAGAGGGGGGAGCGGTTAAAAAATGTAAGGCCCCATTTTTGAAAATTTGGGCTTGAAATCTGAAAAGTTGGGCCCAATTTCTTCAAATAAGCCTGAAATAAAATAATGCCCAGTAATCAGGTAATGCAAGTTTGTTACCTAAATTGTGGGCAGAAGCAGATTTTGGGCACTAAATTGGGCCTCAATCTTTTTGGGGCCCACCAAAGATTCACTTATGTACTGTAGCTCTTTGATGCATATAAGATGTATAAAACAATATTTGAATGTACATTGCTCTTGCCTTACAACTCTGTTTTGTCATGTTTAACATGTACTTCTTGGTCAATATTACCATGTAGCCCCATCCATTGGTTATAGGCTAACAGGGCTACATTTTTACCCCCTATTACAGAAGTCTCCATCGCTGACGCTGCCCATTCAATACCATTCACATAATACAATCTCTGAGCAAGTTGAAATGGTGGGATGTTGTCTGTTGATCCATATTTGGGATAGGCACGCCAATCCACCATGGTTGTTTGATCATAGGACAGAAATAAATCATCAAACTCAGATTCAGTCAATGGTTCCTCTGAAAATACTTTCCAAACTGATGGAAGAAAAGCTTTTCCATCTCCTCCCCAATTCACCGGAAATTGTTTTCCAATACTACGGTAATACAATTCACGATTGGCTGTAAGAAGCATTGTGGGAAAATCATTCAAATTATCGAATCCAAATTTTGTTATATTTGGTGTTCCATGTACAAAATTTGCAACAGTTCGTTTGTATTCCCCTGGAAAATAAGAAACTGGTTTTGGGAAACCATTGAATTTTATATCAGATATCTTATCGTGTAGAGGTGTCGCAATTATAACTATATCATACATGTCCTTAAATGGCACATTATCTCTGTTAACTCCCTCTAGAATGTACCTAGGACTTTGCGAGTTTGTTGATGTGAGGGTGACAGACTGAACTTTTGCATGTATGTGGTTGATAGAGGCATGCTTCACGAGTTGTTTGAAGACAAGATTGTTACCACCATGGACTTCCCACAGACCAGGCATTGCTCCAGCAAGGGATACAGAACCTGAAATAAAAGAAAAGTTAAAAAATATGGACTAAGTACTATTATGAGATATAGATAAAGTAATATTTAATTATTGTTTGGTTAAATAAATCTCATTTCAAAATAGAAGGCACACAATTTATGTACAGGTTTAGCCTGACAATACATGTACAACAGCAACCACATACAACACATGTACAATAGCAGCAACATATGTACAATAGCAGCCACATAGTACATGTACAATAGCAGCCTCGCAATACATGTACAACAGCAGCCACACAACACATGTACAATAGCAGCAACATATGTACAATAGCAGCAACATACATGTACAATAGCAGCCTCGCAATACATGTACAACAGCAGCCACACAACACATGTACAATAGCCGCAACACATGTTCAATAGCAGCAACATGTACATGTAGTACATGTACAATAGCAGCCTCGCAATCAACAGCAGCCACACAACACATGTATAACAGGAACCACACAATACATGCACAAAAGCAACCACACAATACATGTATAACAGGAACCACACAATACATGTACAACAGCAACCACACAATACAGGTATAACAGGAACCACACAATACATGTACAACAGCAACCACACAATACATTTATAACAGGAACCACACAATACATGTACAACAGCAACCACACAATACATGTATAACAGCAACCACACAATACATGTACAACAGCAGCCTCACAATACATGTACAAGAGCAGCCACACAATACATGTACAACAGTAGCCACACGATACAGGTATAACAGGAACCACACAATACAAGTACAACAGCAACCACACAATACATGTATAACAGCAACCACACAATACATGTACAACAGCAACCACACAATACATGTACAACAGCAGCCTCACAATACATGTACAAGAGCAGCCACACAATACATGTACAACAGCAGCCAAATAATACATGTACAACAGCAACCACACCTTGTACATGTACAACAGCAACCACACAATACATGTACAACAGCAGCCTCACAATACATGTACAAGAGCAGCCACACAATACATGTACAACAGCAGCCAAATAATACATGTACAACAGCAGCCTCACAATATATGTACAAGAGCAGCCTCACAATACATGTACAACAGCAACCACACAATACATGTATAACAGCAACCACACAATACATGTACAACAGCAGCCTCACAATACATGTACAACAGCAGCCACACAATACATGTACAACAGCAGCCACACAATACATGAACAACAGCAGCCACACAATACATGTACAACAGCAGCCACACAATACATGTACAACAGCAGCCACACAATACATGTACAACAGCAGCCACACAATACATGTACAACAGCAACCACACAATACATGTACAACAGCAGCCACACAATACATGTACAACAGCAACCACACAATACATGTACAAAAGCAACCACACAATACATGTATAACTGATAACAGGAACCACACAATACATATACAACAGCAACCACACAATACAGGTATAACAGGAACCACACAATACATGTACAACAGCAACCACACAATACATTTATAACAGGAACTACACAATACAGATGCGAGTAGAAATAATCTTGATTTACGTCATTAAAAACTCACAATTCAGTCAAACTGATCTCATATTTGGAATTTACATGTAAAATTACATTTAGAAATGTGGTTTTGAAAAGAGTTTATCAACTTTTAAAATTTAATTTTCTTTGAAAATGTGACTTCTAGGTCGGGGAGATTCCCCATAGACCCCATGTTGTAAAACCACAAAAAGTGAAATATCTTTTCTTGTGTTGGGCAGATAATATTTTCTTTTACTGGACATATTTTAATTTGTATAACTATCAGATACATAAGAGTAATATGAAAAGTGAATCACTAAAACTGATGCATATTCAAGTTTAACGGAATTTTGTAATACCCTGCCATGTTAATTCCCCCGAATCAGCCACCTGGTGGCGAAACTGGTAACTACCTACTCGCATCTGAGTAATTATACTTACAAACAAATGCCTGGATGTCTGTACTCTGGCCATAGTTGTTTCTCAATGCACCAAGAGCAAGTTCATTGATGAATCTCTCCGAAAAGCCCTCCTCTTTAAACTTCTTCTCCGCAGAGACATAGAGGAGATCCCTCATGTCTTGGGACATCGACTCCAAAAGTTTCTCCACACTGGTAAATGCATGGCCGGCTATCTGATGGTCATAGATGCTGTAATGTAAAATGCATTTTTTGGACAATTAGCAGTCAAAATCCCCCATATTAGAAAATGAGGATTTTTCTTCAAAAATGGCACCCTTTGGTGGGGTCACGTAATAAAAAAAAAACATAAGAAGTTTCACAAAAAACAAAACAAAAGAAAAAGCCAGAAAAAATGCTTCAATTTACCAACATGGACATTTTCAAATGTAAGCATTGTCATTGTGTATGTAATGGTAACAATATCGTCTCCCATTTTCTACACTGCCCCCAACTTGTAGCAGAAAGAAATGTGTTTTATGAAAACCTAATTGATATCTTACCCATCGAGGATGGGGTCAAACTCTTAGGACTCGACGAAAACATTCTACTGCAAACAATTTTAGGAAGCAGAATTGATTTCAGTATCAATGATGACAAAATATTTGACATGTTCACAATAGAATGTGCCAAATCCCTATACAACATTGACATGCATTTTAAAAATTTAGAATAAAAAAAAACGAATACGCAAAATGTACACATGTAAAATCATTTTTATGTACGATAAATGTAAATGACTTTTTCAAAACCCCCATTTTTAAAAAAAATGTTTAATTAATTACTATGTACTAACTGTATTACTGTGTTATATGCTCTTCTTAATACGAAGGAAATAAAGATACATAAACATAAACATTCATAAAATGGATAGCCATTAAATGGATAGCTATGGATAGGATGAGTATCCCGATGACAAAATGTGATGATGTGGTTGCAGATACAAATGTGAAACAATTTGTTATACACAAACAACGCATACTGACAATTTATTCTGAATGCCAACCATTAATAAATGTGTGGCAATTAAAACGAACAAAAAATGTATTTTAGATGATTTTTATGATAAGAACTTGTTAAAAGGTTTTTGAAAAATCTAATCCGAGTGTAAAAAACCTTCATAGAGTTTGTACATAAACTTCTACCTGAGACTATCATGTTAGTCTCATCTTATTTACCTCGAGAACTTTTCCAATAAATGTGTATTCCATGTATCAAGTCTTATAAGGTCGTACCCATAGCGCCAGAACATCTTTGCCATGGTTACTAGCGAGAAGCTACTTCCTGTGAAATCCATCTCTTCTCCATTATAGATTCCTAGGATTCCATGGGCCTTTGCTCTTGGTTTTAAACCTGGTGACAAATTTTAATTATATGTAAATACATAATTAATATTTTGTGGTACTTATTCAATTAGTAGTTACTTCATGCATTCCTAATGTAATTTGAATATTGAAGATCTAAACTAAAATTAGAAGTAAATTCATTTGATACTGATACTTCTGATACCAGTTTGTCCTTTGTAATGTACTATAATCTGAAAATTTGTAAAATTGTAAAATTACCTAGCATTTTTGTCATGTTGACCATGTACATATTTTTGGGGTGTATAACTGATCCCCCAGATTCATAGTCTTGGCCTGCAAATTTTACAGATGACACTCTACCACCTATCTCCTATAAATACAATGTACATGGAAAATTAAATGTTCTGCCTTGCACTCATTTGAAATATAAACTCCCATGAAACATACACTTGAGAATATAAATATATGATCAGCATCATTTGTAAATGGTTCATTTCAATAAATTTTGAATAAACGAATATTCAAAATATGCAACAGGGAATTCTATTTGTATACTGAAAACAAGTTTCCTGTTTTTTAACAATATTACCTGTTTTTAGATTCATCTTTTCTCATTTCTCAAAATCTTTCTTTAAACATCTTTCTCTCCAAATGGTTATCGAAGAACAATTTGGCAAATTTTAAATTACAGTATCTCAAAACCTTTTTCTCCAATCATTATCCAGTTTTTGATAATAATCTTTCTATTCAAATTAAGAGTAAGAGAAAAAATCACTCAGTGTTCATTTTGGGACCAGGGATTTTGAGGAAAAGTGTGGCGAAAAACAGGGGGTGATCATGTTTTTAAAAATAGTTTTAGAGACATATAAAAAGTAAAACTCTGGTATATAATAAACAATATAATGTCTGCAGCATAGATTGCAGATATAATAGATCTAACAAAAGGTACCTTGTCTTCATAGAGATCTATTTGGACATGCTTGTCAAACAATTCTCTTAGGAAATGTCCTGAACTAACTCCTCCTGCACCTCCCCCTACTATAGCTGAAATACATAAAACCACAAACTAAAATTAATACTCGATGCTCTGCATCTCATACAAATTTTGGAAAGCAACACCTTCAAGGAATGGTCTTTCCATATTGCACTGAATCCAGGGCTTAGTACTTAAATATGAATTAAAACAGATCCCTACATCTACATGTACATAATCATCATATCTCATAAAAAATATAAAATGTTACTAAATGTAAATAAACATACTCTAACTTAATTGCACAGACACCATACATCGTCAATTTTTGTGTTAACCTTATTGTCATAATTTCCATCTGGAGGTATTGAGCAAAATAAAAAGATGGCACTATAAGCGTCAATGACCAACATCCATCTCATAGGTCAAATACTACATATGCAATACATGTAGTACAGAGTGTCTCAGAAAAAATGTTACACTCACAAAAAGTTCAATATCTTTCATAATTTTGACTTTTCCCTAAAATATACATTGTATACCAAAAGACAAATCTTTCTCGAATAATTTGAAACCATCAAATTCAAAATCTGTCATTAATTGGCTCCACATGACAGCTTTTAGTGTCCCATGGTAAAATGTGACTTGCGCCAACTTCTAAGTGATTGGATTGACCAAATGACAAAGGAGGAACAGTTTCTTTAATATTTAACTTTCTTCTGGGTAGAAGCTTGACCTTAAACTGAGTCATTCAGTAATTTTCCTATTTGTCTTACATATGATCATTGGGTATAAGACATAAACATGTGGTTCCCTCAACATGTTCTCCAAATTAAATTTGAGGTACCCTTGCCCATGCGCGCATGAATTGTAATATCACTCTTATTCTATCAATTATTTTTGCAGAAGTTCATTTAGGTCAGTTTGTGATGCTGTAAACCACTTTCAGAGGCCCTTCAAAAACTCAAGGGTGTAAAAAGGAATGACCCTGGGGGCCAATCCATTGGGAAATTCAATGCTATCTTCTAATTTCCAAAGGGTTCTACCAAAACGATCTGCCACAGGCCTTTGTGCCATCCTGTTGCCATCATAACAAAATTGAACACTCTGACAATGAAATCTTGTATTTCTATCCAGGAAAGATATCACCGTCCACAGCATTCACACCAAAAAAGAATTGATCACCACATGTCCAGCCACTGAGAAGTTGGCGCAAATCAGATTTCACATGCATCTATAAAATCTGTCCTGTGCAGCCAATCTTGGACGGATTTTGAATCTGATGGTGTGAATTTATTCGAAAAAGACTGGTCTTATGGTATCTAAGTATATTTTAAAGGAAAAGTCAAAATCATGAAAGATATTGAACTTTTTGTAAGTGTAACATTTTTTTTGAGACACACTGTATATCATATATATAGAATTTGAGTAATAGCAATTGATGATAATATGTTGTTCATCGGTTTCATTAGTCTCCCTCATTATAATCTAAATTCTAAAATCATGTAAAAAATTGTATCAATACAATGAAAAAAATTTCTGTTACAGAATATTAAGATTAATAGGAGATCAATCGTTTCTGATAATTTTTTCTGTACTCCCATACGGGAATGTGAACAAATATATCGATTGAAAAATAGGTGTGAAAATCCCCATGTTAAACCTATGGAGGAAAACAAGGACGTATGAATTTGTTCCTCCGCGAATGCATCATGGGGAATATTTTGACCTTATGAGGAAAATCTTTCGCGTCGACTCTTTTAAAGAGGGAACAATGAGTATGAGAATTTGAAGGAAGGTGTTCAACATTTGAAAATCACGTACTCATGTTAGCTGTTCCTAAGTTGACAGGCCTGCAGGCCATCTAACTGTCCCGCAATTTTCGTATTTGTCCTGCATTTACTGGAACATTTGAAGTCAACTTTTTTTGCGTGACAGCAAATACACATGAGAAAATTTTGAGGTGTTCAAAATTTGGTTAGATGCAATAAAATTTTAACCAATGTGTTAAAACAGTGGGCCAAGGTGTTCAGATTTGGACCAAGTGTCCACATTTTGAAGAAAGGAGTTCAACATTTGTAAGTCACTCAAGTTAGGTGTTCCCTAGTCCAACAACATTAGACCTAGCCTGGGCCTCGTTTCTTATCTGACATAATGGCCAAGAAAATTCCTAGCAGTAAAGAACGCCGTTATTGAGTTTAACGACATTGATCTAGGGTTCCCAAGTTGACAGGCCTAGGCCTGACATATACATGTACATGTATATCTGCCCTGTCAACCCTCCCAGGCATTAGGTGTGATTGCCACTCATTTGCTGGAAAAAATGAGATCACGCAACAATTTTGCGTGTATGATCATGGACTTTAAAGAGGCTCTATGCCATAGGATAGCACAATCAAGATCCCTCTAGACTTTTTTGCATATTGAGTTTCACCACATGTATACCCATCTACTTACCAAAGAAGAAGTCCCAAATCCCCCTCTTTCAGTGTTAATTTTGTGATTGTGCTGGTCGATCTAATTATTTTCAAAGAAATTAATTCAATCTGAAGTTTGAATATACCGGGAAAGTCCTCCTGTTATCTGATTGGTAGTTGAATTTGTTTATCATAAACATGATTGGCTGCCTGGTTCAAGGTGCTTGTGGGCGCTTGTGTGACTCAATGGGGATTCCCCTCGCTAGCCGAGGAATCAATTGTGTTTTATTCTGGAGTTTGGTTGTTCTATTGATTATTTCCGATATTTCGGCAATAATATACCCAAAAGTTATTCTCAAGATATATCCATGGTATGTGAGATATTATATGAGCAATAACAATAGGACATCATTGATTGTCTGGGGGAGAAACCTATGGGATACATGTAATGCATCTTTAATCAAATTTTAGTCCATGGTATGATAAAATCACGGACATCTAATACGTTCTTCGAACGGGAATGTTATCAATAACAGGACTGGCATCCAGATCCAAGTATTTTTCAAGACCGCCGACTCTCGTTGCGCTATTTATCCCTATTGACTCAGTTGTTCATATAAATTTACGTACCTTACATGTACATGCTTTGTAATCGACGTAGATAGAAAATATTGTTTCCTAAATTGCTCTGAAAAGCGATAATTATTACTAAATGTACTTTGAACAGGTCGACTGACCAAAAAGTCGGACTTCTGGCACAAGGTCACGTGACCCATTCGGGAGGTCACGGGAGGTTACGAGAACTAAATTCAAATTTCCCAAACAATCATCATTTAACCAATCAACGTCGAGATAAAATTGATGACGTCACCGCCATCGGTCAAGGTCAGGTCAAAAGTCATCCATCTTGCCATTTGCCCCGCGGATTCTTACCAGTCGACAAAAAACGATGAAATCACGTTAAAAATAAAATATACACTTTAAAATTGAGGCTGATTGAATATGACAAGACTCCATTGAATACAGCTGTGCAATTTACAGTCACCAAGATGAGCTAATTTCGGAGAGATTCGGGAATTAAAAAAGGTAAGCCATTCCGGTTTCCCAACTTCAAGAATTTGAAATCCCAGAATCTTCTTTGCCAGAAACATTCTCTCTGACTGTGGATAAAATGTTTTTCTGTAGTATGTTGATATTGTTGACAGGCCTGTAGTGTATATACAGTAATTTACTTCAAAGGCCTTAGAGAAATAAAAGAGGTTCATATTTACATCTTTATATTGAGATACATATATGAATTATGGTGCATTTCTTCATCTTATACCTTATGCAGGCCTGTCAACTTGGGAACACCTAACATGAGTGACTTGGAAATGTTGAACACCTCCCCTCAAAATGTGGACACCTTGGTCCAAATCTGGACACCTTGATCCAAAATTTGAACACCTTGCAGGCCTGTCAACTGTCCCGCAATTTGCGTATTTGTCACGCATTTGCTGAAGAATTTGAAGTCACGCCAGTTATTTTTGCGTGACAGAAAATGTCACGCAAATACGCATTTTACCTGGTAATTGTCAAGCAAAAATATTTCTGTAGAAAATTTTCTAAAAAAGATCGTCTACACAGCAAAAATACGAACGACGGGAAAAAACGTACGCATTTCGTTCGGACTTTTCACGCGAATTACGGATATGTCACGCATTACGTTCGAAAATTTTCGTACCTACCCCCCCCCCCCCCCCCCGTTGATGGATGTTTGAAACGCAAGCGTAGCGTGCGCGAAAAATTTGAGGTGTTCAAAATTTGGCAAGATGTAATAAAATTTAAACCAAGGTGTTCAAAATTTGGATCAAGGTGTTCAGATTTGGACCAAGGTGGCCACATTTTGAGGGGAGGTGTTCAACATTTCCAAGTCACTCATGTTAGGTGTTCCCAAGTTGACAGGCCTGACCTTGGTTTAAATTTTATTACATCTTGCCAAGTTTTGAACACCTCAAATTTTTCGCGCTCGCTACGCTCGCGTTACAAACAACCCTCAACGGGGGGGGGGGGGGGGGGGGGGGGGGGGGCATAAGACATTATTGTAATTCGCGTGAAAATACCGAACGAAATGCGTACATTTTTTTCCGCCGTTCGTATTTTTGCTGTGTAGACGATCTTTTTTTAGGGATTTTTCTACAGAAATATTTTTGCTTGACAATTACCAGGTAAAATGCGTATTTGCGTGACATTTTCTGTCATGCAAAAATAACTGGCGTGACTTCAAATTCTTCAGCAAATGCGTGACAAATACGCAAATTGCGGGACAGTTGACAGACCTGCTTATGACACTGACACTGTGACAGGTTCCCAATTTTCTAAAAAGTACAAGTTCCAAAAGTTCAAGCTGGGAACCTGTTCTTCTAATGATCTTTTCTTCTTTGTGATTGTCAATGCACTCAATTACACAATTTTAGTATATACTTACCAATCTTAGGACTCTCATTTTTCTGTAGATTAACCCGGGGAATGAACATAAATCCACATAACAAAAGAGAAATTGTTGGGGATGTCCTCATGAACATTTTGATTTCAGAACGAGGTTTGAGGGAAATCCCTGACCAACATGATTTCCGGTTTCAAAACTTCTTGCAGATTTTTTTCACTTTTTACAAGATTATCGAAGACGAAAGTAAATTCAGAAGTATCAAACAGAGTAAGGAGATGTTTTTTGGTGTCAGGGATCGTTTATTGTTCGAATTCAAATAAGCCAGGCGTTGAAAATGCTGAAAATGAAAAGGTAAATAGATATCTTTTTATACAGTGGGGGACAAAAATAAAACTCAACGTTCACATTAGTTGTCACAATGAGCTTATTTCCAAGTTTCGTGTCTCAAACTCTCCCAAGCGGTAGAAAAATAATTCCCGTTCACTTAAGTAGCACAATAAATGAATCCAAAGCTTCATACCTGCAAATAATGGATAAATCGTCCCTACCAAATCTAATGAATGTTTTCATGAATCGCCATGTTTGTTATCCAAGGATGGTTGACTCCCAGAATGCAACATCAGTTAACCGTATTTACTCATGACAGGTTTCAAAATGGCGGAACAGCATTTTGAAAGCTGGCACGTGTCATGTTGCATTCTGGGAGCCAATCCTCCGTTCCGGCGCAATCAGGCGACGAAATCACCTCAACATTTGAAGAGTCGGCATAACATGTGAATATCCAATTCAACTTTTGAAGTTCCTATTTGTCATTAGGGACACAAATTCCACTATATTTGGACTTAAGACAAAGAAAATAGAGCACTGAATACACTGAGGTACAGTGCTGATATATAATAATAAAGGGTGCGTTTTCAAACTAAACAGAGTGCTCCTACCAAAATGAATTTGCCTACATACCCCTGAGACTCTTATCTGATAGATAGAATGAACAAATAAAACAAAAGTTTTGCTATTATAGGTAAAAAGTTCTCTTGAAATTTCGAAGTGATTTTACCTGTTAATTCTGTCCATGGTCCGCCATTTTTGCGGAAGTTACACTGAAACGCAAACTCCATGAAACGAAACGAAATCACTAGAAAAATATGGCACACATTGTGCGCATGTGCAGCAAAGTTTAAACCAATCAGATTATTTGATTATTTCGCGCACATGAATTATTTGCTTCTGAGCACTTACAAGCTTACCACAATAAACAAACCTGACAGAGACTACCCTTAGCCTACTTCATTTTGGTGAAATTTCAGCTGAAACTCGTGACAAATGCATTATGCATACGCTGGTGTGAAGCCTTGGAGACACTCACTTTGGTAAATATGATTTATGGTGTATACTTTTCTGCAGTTTGTGGGAGTTTGGGACATTAAATGTTATAATTCAAGAAAATATGCCAATTAAACGACTGATCAATTAATATCCACCAGCACTGTAAGAATTTATTACATGTGCGACAGCATGTAATTTTCATAGCTTTTGCAATTCTTTATGATCCCCACTGTAGGAAATAATTTTTGTCATTTCTTCACATGTTCGTATACCAGGCCTGTCAACTGTCCCGCAATTTGCGTATTTGTCACGCATTTGCTGAAGAATTTGAAGTCACGCCAGTTTTTTTTGCGTGACAGAAAATGTCACGCAAAATACGCATTTTACCTGGTAATTGTCAAGCAAAAATATTTCTGTAGAAAGTTTTTCGAAATATGTTTACGATACGGTAAAAATACGAACGCCGGAAAAAACCGAACGCAATTTGTTCGGATTTGTCACGCGAATCCCGTATGTGTCACGCATGTTCATTGGAAATTTTTCGTACCTACCCCCCCCCCCCCCCCCCCCCCCCCCCCCCCCCCCCCCCCCCCCACCCCGTTGATGATATCGCGAGCGTAGCTAGCGCGAAAAATTTGAGGTGTTCAAAGTTTGGGAAAGGTGCTCAAACTTTGGCCAAAGGTGTTTAAAAGTTGGCCAAAGGTGTTCAAAATTTGGACAAAAGTGTTCAGATTTGGACTTAGGTGTCCAACATTTTGAAGTCACTCATATTAGGTGGTCCCAAGTTGACAGCCCTGGTATACATATGTACATTCACCGAACTTATCTTGTACCAAGACCAATACCATCTCTACGATTCATGGCCTCTCATGGCCCACATCTTGAAATACTGGTCAATCGAAACATACCCCCATAAATGTGGGGTTATTTTGAGGATTTTTAATATTTAGGACATTTGTTACCACATGCTATCTATTGCAAGACTTACGCCTGCCACAACCATCGCCATGTTTAATCAGTGTTTTGAAGTAGCGCAAGGATCCTGCCATGACCGTGGTAGTTATCCCGTTCCAGGACTATAGTCCTGTACTGAGCGCATACATTTGCCTGTACGATTACAACTTGGGAGAATTATCTACGCCCCTTCCACTTTAAGAAACCTACCTCAATGCATTCTAGAACTCAAAATGTAACTTCTAATATATTGGAACCGCCGATTGTCTGGGTCAGTTGGCAGAACGAGGTATTTTTGTTTCTTATGGCTCTTTTGGTCGAAGTTTGATTAAGATGGCGGTTATAACGGAATTTCCTGAACTTTTCCGTAATAGCACGAACTTGGTATTTCGTTACGTCACTTCCGTGTAAAATGGATTTGTTTCCGGTAAGAGGGAATTTCGAAAATTTCGGACAATATTTTCATTATTTACTGCCATGTCGACATCCTATGCTCTTAACTGTATACCGAATGGTTAAACAATGTTTCTTACCGGAAACAAATCCATTTAAACACTTTTTGGGGCTTTAAGGCCTTGTTTGGCCTAAAAATTTTTTTGGGCCCATTTTGCCTTTCATTTCCTATAAATCACAGCTAGCAGGGAAGATAAAATGTACTAGTGACTGGTCACGTGACTTGACTGGTGATTAGTACATTTCATCTTCCCTGTAAGCAGGGATTTGGGACTTTTCAGGGAATTAGTTCATCTCTTTCATATCACGTGAGAATAACCTAATGAGCATCTAGAAAACAATAATATTATGAGATAATCACCCACGATACCCCTGGACCCCAAAAGCAATCAGACATCCCCAACTGGGCGTACCAAATCAAAATATAGCCCTACGCCCATGACTGACATACCATTTGTCTGAATCCCAATGGTCCAAATACCATATTTGAAAAATAAAACTAATTACCAACTTATTACCAACTAATTTACAACTAATTATCAACAATTCTGCTGGCAATTGGAATTAAAGTTAAGCGTTAATTAAATCAATGATAATTATGGCCTAATTATCAGTAGCAAATTCAACGTAAATTAACTTACAATAATGCTGATTTATGATTTTTAGTTGATAATTAAGATATGAAATGTTTGAGGGTGATAGTAAGTGGTAAATTAAAACGTTTTTGTTCTGAAGTAGATTATTGGTTGATAGTTAACATATAGGATGATTATAATGATAATTAGTAGTAAATTAATTAATTGAGAATTACAACGGGAATTGTGCGTATACTACCATGAAATTTGGTCAACATTATTATAAGGGTATGTAGAACATGAATACAATGTATGTTAAATCTTATTCACACTTCTGTCTGAAATGTTTTGAATTTGAAAATCTTTTTAAATCAGATCATATAATATTAATCCTAAAATGCAATTTAGGTACTAACATGGGTTACCTATATTTCAAAAGTAATCCAAATGTGCTCTTCTAAATAATGATTGTTAGATCAAAGACATTTCAAAACAAATTTTTGATTGTATCTGCTACGTCCTTATTATGTAACATTATAGTCTAATGTTAATGTGTTCTGATTTTAATTGTTGATGGCAATAATGATGTTTTCACATGCTTTTCATGAATCTTAAAAATTTGCAAAATAGAATAGCTTTAAAAAAGAGGGGGAGAAACCCCAGGGTTCAAAGATGACATACGCTTATAATGTAAATCTGTATTGAGATGACATCGTCGCTGATTGGTTTAGCGAGTCGATCGTTGATTGGTTTAAAACTAGGTCAATTTGAAAACCAAGATGGAGGGTACGTTTTAGACAAAAAGAGGTGTGCGAAGGAGGAAATCGTATGTCATCAATTGAATCATGGGGTTTTCCCTCCTCTTGCTGTGAAATTTCAATAGTTCAAGTTCAATGTTGTCTGTTCTGAAAGATCCTAATTAATTCGTCACAAAATAGTTCAAGATGAAGCAAAAATCTCCGAGTGAAGAGAAGCAAAAAAGAAGCGAGTCATTTTTGAGATGTCACAAATCTGACTTAAACCTAACTTTCAACTAATTATCAATAGTAAGTTAGGTGATAATTAGAGATTAACTTACATCAAACTTACAACTAACTTTCAACTAATTTACGTAAATAGCTCATTTGCATATTGATGGTAGTTAATCGTTAATTAAGTTGCAAATTAAGCGTTAATTAAGTTGATAATTAGCTCATTTGCATGTGAATTTTTACACCTAACTTTCAACTAATTATCAATAGTAAGTTAGGTGATAATTGGAGATGATTTTCCATAGGCTTTTTTCCATTGGGATGGGTTCAAATCCCAATGGTTCCGAATCCCATCCATCCGAAGCACAATCATCCGAATTCCTTTCGCCCGAATCCCAATGGTCCGACTCCTAATTGTCCGAATACCATTTTTCGAAGTCGTATGATTTTGGAAAATAGGCTTGCACCCACCTGAAAATCCATTTGCACTCACTTGAAAATGAGAAAAATCATGAAAGATTGGCATATTTTGATCAATTTTGGTCTAAATTGTGAAAATAAGAATTTTGCACCCACTTGAGAAAAAATCCTGTGGAGATCACTGTGATGTCTTAGCTCAACGTTTCTAAAACTGCATTCAATAGACTAGCTGCGAGTAGAAATAATCTTGATTTACTTTATTTGGGAGGTTACTGTATTCTTACATTTGGATTCTGGAAGATCATAATTAAATGAACATTCGCACAAAGATGAAGGGTAATCATGGCTTTAAGTGGAAAGCATGGTATTGCATGACAAACTCACTAAAACTCTAAAAACATACATACATATTAATAATGATGTTTTCACATGCTTTTCATGAATCTTAAAAATTTGCAAAATAGAATAGCTTTAAAAAAGAGGGGGAGAAACCCCAGGGTTCAAAGATGACATACGCTTATAATGTAAATCTGTATTGAGATGACATCGTCGCTGATTGGTTTAGCGAGTCGATCGTTGATTGGTTTAAAACTAGGTCAATTTGAAAACCAAGATGGAGGGTACGTTTTAGACAAAAGGAGGTGTGCGAAGGAGGAAATCGTATGTCATCAATTGAATCATGGGGTTTTCCCTCCTCTTGCTGTGAAATTTCAATAGTTCAAGTTCAATGTTGTCTGTTCTGAAAGATCCTCATTAATTCGTCACAAAATAGTTCAAGATGAAGCAAAAATCTCCGAGTGAAGAGAAGCAAAAAAGAAGCGAGTCATTTTTGAGATGTCACAAATCTGACTTAAACCTAACTTTCAACTAATTATCAATAGTAAGTTAGGTGATAATTAGAGATTAACTTACATCAAACTTACAACTAACTTTCAACTAATTTACGTAAATAGCTCATTTGCATATTGATGGTAGTTAATCGTTAATTAAGTTGCAAATTAAGCGTTAATTAAGTTGATAATTAGCTCATTTGCATGTGAATTTTTACACCTAACTTTCAACTAATTATCAATAGTAAGTTAGGTGATAATTGGAGATGATTTTCCATAGGCTTTTTTCAATTGGGTGGGTTCAAATCCCAATGGTTCCGAATCCCATCCATCCGAAGCACAATCATCCGAATTCCTTTCGCCCGAATCCCAATGGTCCGACTCCTAATTGTCCGAATACCATTTTTCGAAGTCGTATGATTTTGGAAAATAGGCTTGCACCCACCTGAAAATCCATTTGCACTCACTTGAAAATGAGAAAAATCATGAAAGATTGGCATATTTTGATCAATTTTGGTCTAAATTGTGAAAATAAGAATTTTGCACCCACTTGAGAAAAAATCCTGTGGAGATCACTGTGATGTCTTAGCTCAACGTTTCTAAAACTGCATTCAATAGACTAGCTGCGAGTAGAAATAATCTTGATTTACTTTATTTGGGAGGTTACTGTATTCTTACATTTGGATTCTGGAAGATCATAATTAAATGAACATTCGCACAAAGATGAAGGGTAATCATGGCTTTAAGTGGAAAGCATGGTATTGCATGACAAACTCACTAAAACTCTAAAAACATACATAAAGTATTTGCCAACCTAAAGACTAATATAAGAAGCAAGACACATTTTGAGAAGTGAACAACCACGAAAATTAATAGTTGCGAAATTTCAAAAGACTAAAAATTAGCATGATATAATATCTGCGAAATTACAAAATCGCAAAATATAGTAATGCAATTCATACCTTGTGTGTAGTTCTGAAGATTTGACAACAGTGTGTATTGTGATCATGACGATTGAAGAAACGACACACTACTGTTTTAATAATAAATGTCATCTAATGTGCCATTTCATATTACATTTGGATAACAAATCGGGTTTAAAGTCTGCATGGGGGTTTTGGATGGTGATTCGAATCTATTTCTTCAAGTCAATGTACAACCAAATAACATCAACCTCAATCATATTCCAGCTTCAGGATCCAGCCACATTGACAAACAGTTACTTGATGAAAAATGCAGCTGGTGTTACAGTTGATGCAGCATGCTCTCTGCTCACCCAGACAGTTGCAGCTCTCTTGCAGACTCACTCTGATTATGTAGAGGTAAGGCTCACATTGATTATGTAGGGATGAGGCTCACTCTGATTATGTTGAGGTAAGGCTCACTCTGGTTATATAGAGGTAAGACTCACATTGATTATGTCGAGGTGAGACTCACTCTGATTGTAAAGAAGTGAAGCTTACTCTGATTATATAGAGGTAAGACTCACATTGGTTATGTAGAGGTAAGACTCACTTTGATTATGTAGAGATGAGGCTCACTCTGATTATGTAGAGGTAAGGCTCACATTGATTATAGTAGAGGTGAGGCTCAATCTGATTATGTAGAGGTAAGGCTCACATTGATCATGCAGAGGTGAGGCTTACTCTGAATATGTAGAGGTAAGCAGGCCCATAGCCAGGGGGGGGGGTCCGGGCGAAACCCCCCTGGCCAAAATTTCTTTCAAAATCATGCAGTTTTTCACCATTCTGACTATTTTTTGAGTGATTTTTGGCCAAATTTGCCAAAGTGAACCCCCCTAGAGTTTTGGGGAAAAGTGAACCCCCCTTGGAAAATTCTGGCTACGGGCCTGGGTAAGGCTCACTCTGATTATGTAGAGGTAAGACTCACATTGATCATGTAGAGGTGAGGCTTACTCTGATTATGTAGAGGTAAGGCTCACTCTGATTATGTAAAGGTAAGACTCACCTTGATTATGTAGAGGTGAGGCTCACTCTGATTATGTAGAGGTAAGACTCACCTTGATTATGTAGAGGTGAGGCTCACTCTGATTATGTAGAGGTAAGGCTCACATTGATTATGTAGAGGGGAGGCTCACTCTGATTATGTAGAGGCAAGGCTCACATTGATCATGTAGAGGTGAGGCTTACTCTGATTATGTAGAGGTAATGCTCACATTGATCATGTAGAGGTGAGGCTTACTCTGATTATGTAGAAGTAAGGCTCACTCTGATTATGTAGAAGTAAGGCTCACATTGATTATGTAGAGGTGAGGCTAACTCTGATTATGTAGAGGTAAGGCTCAATCTGATTACATACAGGTAAGGCTCAATCTGATTACATAGAAATAAGGCTCAATCTGACTATATAGAGGTAAGACTCACACTAAATATATAGGTTTAAGGCTCACTCTGATTACTGTATTAGAGGCAAGGCTCATCTTGACTATATAGAGCAAAGGGTAACCCTGTGCAATATAACCTTTTTTTGCTATATATTGAAATTGGTTAAAATTGCCTGATTTCAGGTGATGCTGGAATTGATGAGACTCATGGAATACAATGTGTCTCTGAAAGGCTATGAACATGAGCAGGACCGTGTTTGGGAACTGATTCTAGAGGCAAGGGCCATGTGTAATGAGTTGAAGCAGGAACAACAGGTTGGTAACACAATTCAACTGCACTATATTTCAGCATGTTGTGCAAAACAGGGTGTCAAAGAATTGAAATATTTGGCACTGGCTTTTCAAGAGAGGTTCATACAAACTTGACAAATCTTTACAGTCTGTTGTTCCTCTTTTAAATGCAATGTAAAATTTTGATAGGTATCATTGATATAAGTAATACACATAGCAGTAGTAATGATAATTCTATTGAACACCCTTTGTCTTATTTACTGATTTTGTACACAATTCATTTTGAACAAGTTTAGCAACAATTTTGCTATAACTTAGCAACTTGTGATTTGATTGACTTGAAATTTTTAGTATCAACACAGAAGAAGTTCAGTAACAATTTGCAGTACCTTAGCAGTAGGGGTGGGACGGATAACCGAAATACCGAAAAACCGCGGTTCATAGCCTTCGGATCGGTTTTCGGATCACGGCCCTACTTTCGGATCAGCTTTTCGGATTAATATTTCATTGGTCAAGTATCAATAAAACAGTTAAAAACACTGTTTTACAGCAACATTTTTGATATTCCTAGTCTTGTCTGTCTTGTCTGTTGCTAGCTCACTCGTTTACTAGATTCGTTTCGTATCCGCGTATTCGTATCCCTCTGTAATCAATCATGTGGTCCCTGGTACTATATTCTTTAGTCGTGTATTCTAAATAATATGTATTGTTCATGAAATACTATAACATAAAATTCCATCTATAAAATATTGTTATAACGTCAGAGACAAAGCAGCTAATCATGTCAATCAATACAAATCCTTAAAATGAATGAACCGAACCGAAAAAACCGAACCGACGGCTGATGATCCGAAAAACCGAACCGAACCGAAACGAACTGTCCCATCCCTACTTAGCAGCCTATGATTGGATTGACATAAAATTTTTAGTGTGAACACATAGACACAATATCTGTTACCATGGCAACGAATAAGGGGACTTATAACATTTTTGTGTAACACATACAGTGATCACCTGGCAATTGGCATCTCGTTGCTCTGGCTATGCAAACTACAGATGTCTTCACATTTTGGCAATACTGAGTATTGGTCACCAGAGCAACAAATTGAGGAACTTCACTTATGTCTTGTTTTGAAATTCACTCTCTCATACATGTGCAACTAGGTGTTGAGATCTTGCCTATTTAATACCTAGTGATATTGTTACATACGAGAACAGTTAATCTTTTATGTATAGTTATTATTGTAAATATATCAAACCATCTAATTTACAGACTCAAGAATGTACAAGTATGATATGTTTATTATCAACATCTGAACCTTGTATTTGACATTAATTTGTTCATTCTTTCACTTCCAGAAATTGTTACAGACATTTAGGAGTCTTGAGCGTATGATGGAATCAGTGGGTGAAGCTGCATTTGCAACTGGGGCCGAATATCCTGGAATTATTGCAGGGGAGAGGCTTTTCTCAGCCCAAGTTAGAGTAAATCATGCTCAAAAATCTCTTGAGGAAATTGAAGAACGCTTGCAACAAACAAATGTTAGAATGATCGAAGAGACTGCTAAACGAGAAGAGGAAAAGAATAAAAGGAAATTACAGCAAGAGCAGTTAGATGAAGAAAATGACAATGATACTATTGAAGATGATGATACGGGTGGTGAGAGTGGGCAAGATAAAGAAAATGATGACATGTGAAAGGTACACTAGTTAAGCAGACCTAACATATCAATCATCACTAGCCCACTTATATTTAGCTGTAAGGCGGATCTCAACTCAAAAGGATCCACAATCAGGTGAAAACAAACAGATCATATTTTGGGATAAAAGGACAATATTGCTTGATATAAATCTTCACAAAATGATAATTGACCACTGAATTCATGTCTTTGAAACACTGAATGTTATGTTTGTTTCAACTTATAAGGTACACTTATATGAAAATAAGGCTGGCTTTTGAATGTATTCTGTTGCAATAAGGCCCTATATGAAATATGCATTTAACAAGAAGGTCGCTGGGTGTTTAATTGAAAATTGACATTTATTCAACAATAGGTGTTGTCAAAATGGAAAATGACAGCTGGGATTCGAATGAACAAGTAATAAATTACTGCAAAATGAATGAGAGGACAATAATACATTTTCTTATAATTTTGAAGGAGTCGATATTGTGTTAAGTTGACCCTTGATCTCTGATTTCCATTCAAATATTATTCACCTCGCCAATAACTGACTGGGATTGCTTAGTTAAAAGTAACTGTAATAAAAAGCATCGCCATACATAAATAAATTATAAATATTGCAGTAATAAACTTTTATACACATACCATAGAAATGGTTCATGTATTTTATTTATACTCGGAGAATGCTAATTTAAATGTTCACATCAAGTAGGTGAAGAAACCATGATGTAAGGTGTGTTAGGCTACATGTATTTCAAGGTACAAGTTTAAATCGACAAGAAAGTTCAGCTACAAGTAGCTATACATTTCTGATTCTGGTAGTATTACCCCTCTCTTCCAGGCCAGACTTACTGTAGAACTAAAAATATTTGTGCAGTTTCATTTTGCAGTCCATTTTCTCTAAAATAGCTTGAAATGTTTGATTCCATGACAATTTGTTTATTGATTATGTTAAGCTGTTAAGTGTTTAAACAGTCAAATCATAACTTCATAAGCCACAAGATTCATTTTAGGATTCAAATAGTATATTCAAAAGTTCTGAGATTCATATTTCAATCATCTAGTTATTTATTTTCAAGTACATGTTCTGTACATTTACACGTTTATCAGCTACTGATTTTGTTGAGGCAAACATCAAACCAGAAACAGTATAATTCTTCATTAATATTGACATAGTGTCACTACTTTTATCCACTATGACTTATGACTTAATAGTCCACTGTCAGGAGACTCATCCCATATTAACTTCTGAATTGGTTTGAACTTTGGATGTTTTGCATCCTGACATAGTCCAAGTAACATACTTTCACTAGTTGTGAGAAAGGCCCCTGCTTCTTTCATCCTCTCAAATGCATACATCCTGAAAATCAAAAGGATTATTTTTTCATTTAAGATGACTCCATATTTTAACAGCTATCTGTTGAGGAGATTTGGCAAAATGTTAACATGACTAATGTAAGAGGACATATACAACCACTTTCAAGAATTTTTTTAAAGTTTTTAATATTTTCTGAAAAGAAGATTGTAGAAATTGTATGATGCAAGTTACAGATTAATTACATATGAAAATGAACATTTTGGGATTATGATCTTTTATTAAGTTGGGCATTACATGTTTTGTATTGTTGACTCTTATGGCTGAAATGCAATCCACTTCCAAATTCCAATTGACATACTTAATGGTCAGACAAAGGCAGCCACAAAATGAATAAATGGTAATAAAGATTAAGTTGTGAACAAAAAGGAAAAGGACTTAAAGCAGATATGAAATGGTATTTTTAACCCAAAGGAATCAATATAATTTTTTGATAGATATATTTGGACATGTTTTCTCATCAGTAGTGTGAAAACTATTTCACTCTAACGATCGTTATAGCTGCTTAATAAAGGTGCAACAATTAGTGCAGAGGGGCCATTCAACGATCATGGACCAGTATCAAAATATATTTAAGTTTGGATATTTCATCAAGACTAACATCTATTTTTATTATCTACAAAGAATCCCCCTAGATAAACATTATTTCAGCTGATATTCCTCTTGAAACACGGTGGATCTTAAAATTATAAAAGTGGATTTCCCCTTTTTGAAGCTTTGAACTGAATTTACACTTCTTAATGCTGAAATTGATAGTTTATCCATACATTTTAAGAAAATAGGTATGTCAAAGAAGATGTTAAGCCAAATGTTGCCTTGATAGCTCAGAAAAAGTTGAAATTTTCCTATTTTCTCTCTACAGTCCTTGTTGCCCCTTTAATAAGCAATATTCGAATTGGTTGTGACGTTATTGGCCCCCACGTGATCTCTCACTGGTCCCCACGTGGCCCGTTTTGGTCCATTAGATCATGACGTCATAATGCCAAAATGTTTTGTTATTTGTTTACACAACAATCCTATGGTTGCCGTGACGTTGTGATTACTATGGAACCAATAATCAAAGCTATATTTTGTATATGACGTTACTTATCACGTGGGGGCCAATTTGATTTATCAGTTAGTTTTATTTCGTAATCTATGACCGTTAGCAGTTATCTAACATTTATTTTATAATGGCTATCGCAAGAACTCTACGGTGGGCTTACAATGGAGAAAACCGCATTTTTGTAGCTGCAAGTTGAGAAAAGCTATTTCAGTTGTCCTTTAAGTCTTCACTCAAAAGAAAACCTAGGCCAGTACCTGTCAACCATACTCCTAGAAGAGCAAGCATCTACCAACACATGGACATCGATGCCTCTTTCTAGTAGGTCCAGAGTGGTCTGTTGTATGCACACTTGTGTCTCAAGACCACACAGAATAACTGACTTCACATCTGTAATGTACATAATAGGATTTATTATTACCTTGGGGTAGCCTACCCAACATTTTACTGGAGGAATGATGGGTGATGTGTCACTATGGGAACATATGAATCAAAGTTTGTCTAAGACCCGACCCCTGGGGTTTTGAAATTTTGGAGAAAATTCCACCAACTTTTATTGCTCCCAGGATGCAGATGGGGGAAACTCACCAGGTTGTTCCCAGGGCAAGGAATTAGTCAGCCCAATTTTTGTCAAAACCAGCGTCTGGGTCACAAATTGGTGCATTAATTGAAAATGATTTCCCAGTATGTGCTCCTTACACTGGCAACTAATCAGGTAGTTTAACCTGGAATATTGGACTGTTTCTGGCCAAAACATCATACAGAATTCTTTTCATAGTCATGATAGTGCTCTATACAATGGACAGAAGTATTTTTACCTTTGAAATTATTGAGTTGCTCTTCTACTGGTGGTATACACATAGAAAACCTTGTCTTGTCAAACACCTTCACCTGAGATACATCCAGCTCAGGAACAGTTGGCCCTAATCCTAAAACAGTGACGCAAACCATAAAATAAGTTTATTGGATCTTAATAATCCTTATTGATTCCTTAAGCATGTTAAGATGGTTGGTAGATTCTGACAAAATGTGTAGTCTTGGATCATAGTATACAAAATGTAAAATATACAAATTTTAGGGGATATATATCTAGAAAATATTGGAAACTATGGGCTTTCACATCACTTTGGTTTGGAAGTGGTGATGGAAAATCTACAACTCACTTACATGTATTTATTGCTCAGACATGAATTTGCATATTTTACATTTTGAATACTTCCATCCCCTATTTTTTATTACTGAGAGTGTAGGTCCCAACCCTAGATATCAATTATTTATTGTATCTGAACCTGAATTCTCAGTATTCAGCTTCAATAATTGAAAGCTATAGTCCCAACCCCTCATTGTGTTGTAAATAGTGCAACCATGGACCTCTATCATCCTATATAGTTAGACACTTTGCACGTAGTAGTTACGTAAAATAATGCGTTGTATCTTAGAGAGAATCAGATATAGCAAGCAGGCTAGACAAAAAATTGTCTCAATTTTAGAATATTTTTGGCTCATGTCATTCCTTGTCATGTCTATTTTCTAAAAATCACAAAAGTGCATACATGTA